AGGTGAATCTAAAGAACCTGCAAAGTCAAAAGAATGCAATATCGAAATGGAAGTAGTAGGCTACTTAACAATGTGGGCAAAAAAGGAAATGTTCTCAAGAAAGATGACATTGAGGGATATGCAAACTCAACGAGACTTCAGATCATAGCAAAGGAAGCCCTTATGATCAGGGCTATATCCCACAAAAGCACACATTGCTAATTGGGGAGTAAGCTTTGTGCGCTCATGTGGAGGAAGATGGACAAAACATATACAACCAAAGACATAAAGAATAGAAAAATCAGGTGAACGGTGAAACAAGCTTTGAAAATGAGAGGTATTATGCAAGACAGATGAAGGAAAAATGTTAATAAGGTGCACAGTAGTGCTGGCCGCCTCCACCCAAAATGAAGTAGGAGCATGGGAGTCATGAAGAAGAGTCTGAACTATGCTCAAGATATGTTTGTTCTTGCGCTCTACCACTCTGTTTTTTTTGTGGAGTGCTAGGACAAGATCTTCGGTATTGAATTCCATTGTCTCTCAAGAAAATTTGAAAGTCCCCATCAAGGTATTCACCCCCCGATTTTGAATGGAGAACCCCAATGTTTGAATCAAATTGGATTTTGACTTTTGCTAAGAAAGGTTTAAAGGTAGAAAAAATTTCAAATTTGTTTCTCAAGAAATATATCCAGGTAAAGTGAGTACAGTCATCAATAAATGTAACAAAATATTTAAATCCCAACCTGAAAACAACTGGAGACAACCAAACATCACTATGTACTATTTTAAAAGGAACAGAAGCATGTTCAACAACTGAAGGAAAAGGTAAAACATGGCTCGTACTCAAGCAACAAGAAATGCAAGCCTTATCAACATTATTAAAAGAAGTAGCTTTAGAAGACAAATAACCATCACGAAACAAAGACTCAAGTTTATTTGCATAGGGGTGACCAAGACACCTATGCCACAAGTGCCAAACATTATTTCTACAAATAACCTCAGTACTAGGGGTGGTAGTAAGAAAATAGGATGTGGATGAAGGCCCCAATGTCTTTTCAAATTCCAAGGCAAATAGCCGATCCAGTCTACACCCCTTCCCTTTCACCGTCCCAGTGCACTGGTCCTGTATCAAACAGTCATCATGGGAAAAGAAAACAATGCTACCATCCTCAACTAGCTGATTGACTGAGATCAAATTCGTTGTAAGTTTAGGAACAAAGAAATTTTTATGTAGATGAAAGCAAGAATTGACAGATGTAGTCAAAGACAAATCATTGCAACCAACAATATCCAATTTTTCTCAATCAGCAATAATAATATGTTTATTCAAAGATTTGGGTTTAACGGACTGACCAGTGTGTGCCCTTGTCATATGGTTAGAAGCCCTAGAATCAATGATCCATAAGTGACTAGGAGAGGAACAATAATAGGATGACTCACCCGAAAGACCGATGGCTGAAAATGCAGAAGAAATAGTTGAGGATACTAGCTGCCGCATTCTTTCTTCTATAAGAGTCCTAGAATTTTCATCTATTCCTGCTAAAGTTGTACTTCTTGCATCTGCACCTTCAGTTGTTGTCTGGAAAGCCTTATGTTGACTTTTCTTAGAACTTGAGCCATTCCCCTTTGTTGGCCGAGTAGGACATTCAGGAATAATATGTCCATGTTGTTTGCAGTAGGTATAGAAATTTTCTTCCAACAATGTGAAACAACATGTCCATATTCCTTGCATTCATAGCACTGTACACGGGACAAGTCCTTCTTGGGCTTGGATTTATTCATCAGAAAGGCTGTCTCTGTTCCAGAATCAGATTTCGACCTCAAGATCGATTGAGTAATGAATCTAGTTTCCTCCCTGAGAAGCTCCCCCAAAACTGTGTCAAGTGTGGGAGGAGTTCCCCTACTGATAATGTTGGACCTTACAATTTCATATTCAGATCTCAGATGCATTAGAAAATGCATGACCTTCCTCCTATCAAAGTGTTCTTTCATATTTTTGATGCAGCAAGCAAAGGTGCTTTCACCCATGTGAACTAATTCATATTATGTCCGCAAATTCACAAAGCCAACATAATACTATATTTTCTTCTCACCCTAACTGTAAGAAAATATCCCTGTCTCAATCTGATATTGACGAGAGATGCTGGACTGTTGGTACACCTTTTCCATATAGGTGAACATCTCACTAGCAGTTCAATAACTTCTCATTGGAATAGCAATCTCAGTTTCAACGAAGCCAAGAAGCCAAGACACTACTTTGGCATTGTCGATCTTCCACTGTTTCAGCCCATTGGAATCAGATTCATCAGGTTGTTTGGTGGAACCATCCACAAATCCCCATAGGCCATTTCCCTCAACATAGAACTGGAAATGAAATTTACATAAGGTATAGTTTGTTCCATTGAACTTTACTAGTAGAATATTCCTTTTCTCCATGGACATTTCAGCAATGAGTAAGCAAAGGAAACTAAGAAAGTAGAGCAGCCGAAGGTCCAAATCAATCCAATAAACAAAACAGCCACACAGTTTTTGAACTGATAACAGTCCAAAAAAGGTAAGTTTTCTGGACTGTTGAACAAGAAAAAGGGCAAAACACCCTTCAAAAGGAATCCAAACCAGAACTAAATTATAGATCTATATAGATCTGACCTGGGTGACATCAGATCTGAAGTTTCACAGTGTTTGGAGTAGCTGATTGAGAGAAAAAGAAGAAACCCTATTTCTGATTGCGATCTTCCGGAGAAAGAGCAGCAGAGATGTGCTGATCAGTACAGCAACCTATGAGATCCAAAACTTGAGTAGATGGGTCGATCTCACAGGCCTAAAGAGATCTCAATCAAGGACAGGTTGAAAAACCTGCTTTGATACCATGTCAACTTAGATCAAATCAGAGAAGAAAAGCTAAGAATGAAAGGGTGTGTTCTCTCTTTAATCACACGCCCAGAAATAATTAACTTATATAAGAAAGAATACAATGTTATGGAAAGGACAGTTATGCCCTTATCTTACAAGAAAGAATAAAACAAAAGAGTTTACATAAGTTACAACATAACAAAGTGGTCCCAAGAGCCAAAAAAGGAAAGAAAATGTAAGAAACATAAATCAGTCTCTACAGTAGACTTCTTCAATAGTCTACAAAACTCAACTATATGCCCCTCGTGACCACAGTGGGTGCATATCTGAACTCCATTAAAATTCCTACAATAACCAATGGTGTGCCCCTCTAAACCACAATTGGTATAGTATCTAACATCCATGGTCCTACCACAACCTTAATCACCTGCCAGAGCACATTCTTCTAATCAGTTCCCAAATAGGCTTAAAAGTATCCATGAAAATCAAGCTGTTATTGATTTTAGATTCCATGAAATTCCATAACCATGTCTTTATTAAGCATCCTCTTGCACCCAATCATAGAGTTAACATATTCGGGTTTATTTTCGGTTAGGTATTTAAGCTTCTCCTTAGTTCAGTTTAGTAGATGTCATTTGAATGGGTAAGAAGTCAGGTGACACCATCACAGCAAGTTTAGACACCATTTCAATCACTACTTCCAATCAAATAAGTAATAAGAATCTGGTAACTAATCTTTACCACAATCGGCCAGTCACCAAATCAAGAATCAGGCTGCTTTCAGCATTAATAAAAAAGTTGACTCACCTTTTGTTTCACAAAACTGCAGTCTGCTATAATCTTCACTGGTTGATGCATCTCCCAGTCACAAACTTCTGCATGCATATGATCACCATGCCCTCTTGAAATTTCCCAATTGAGGGTCTCACATTACACACCATTCACCACACACAAAGTGATGGTTAGAACCATCACAAATGGCGCAAAAAAATAGCAATCTGCCTGACTGCATTCTCAGTCTTCTATATATAAAATCAGAAAAATAATAAAGAGAGAAGAAGATAGATTGTAAGAGAGAGAAAGAGAGAGAGAGAGAGAGAGAGAGAGAGAGAGAGGAAGAGTAGAAAAAGACAAGTCAGGCCACGTCAACCTGCTCTGATACCATGTAAACTGGTAGAACTAGCTACAGGAGTAGTTTAGAAGAGAAAATAAGAAGAAGAAAACTGACCACAGCCAGAAGAGAGGAGAAAACCCAAGCTCCCTGTTCAGTTGAGACTTGAGACTTAAAACTCAATTAGTCTCACCTAGCAATTGGCTGGGTATATATAAAAGACATCAAATTACAATATAACCCTGTCTAAAATACCCTACTGCCCAATAACACATAAAAAAGTCTAGGGAAAAAAATAAAAACCTCCCCTGGGTTTCCCGACAATCCTATAAACCTCCACTATATCTTGACATTGATAAAACCCCCCTAAAATTTTAAAAGGAGCAAATACCTCCCTTTCTTAGTTTTCCTGAAACAGAGAAATTGAAGCTACCAAAATGCCCTTTCTTTCTCCCCACTTCTACTTCTACCTATTTTTTTCTCTTCCTTCTTTTGCACCTCCGATGTGCATGAGGTGACCATACCTAGGGAGCTCATCTTGTTCCTCACAATTTCTGCAATCGAACCGGTGAAAAATCACCATAGTTTGCTCCTGTTTACTCCTGTTTTCAAAACCATTTACATGATTATATTCCTCCTGTTTCCTCTTCATTCTATGGCATAAAACCAACTTCAAAACCATTAAGAAATTAGAATACAAAATTTAAGAAACCAAGGGTGTTGTGGTAGCTGGATGATTCTGAAGGCTGAAGCAAGTACCACTAGGTAGATGGCAATTACACCCAGATATGCTTGTGGGACTAAAAGTCGTGTAGTTAATACATTTCAACTGACCCATTTAGCTCCAAAGAGGACAATAAAACATTTCATTCTCAGAGGAGATCAGGAGACAAAAAGATATGGATATCAAGATTGACGTCTTGGCCTTGATTCTGCCATTGTTACTCGGATTGGTCTGTCATTCAAACAAGCACAATTCAAGGATGAAATTGCATTGTTGACATCTTCAGCAGAGTTATAGGTTATAAATCCAAAACCCTTTGACCTACTACTTTACCTGCCAAAGACCACCTTAGCCTCCATCACACCATTCCTTGCTCAGTCGCATAAGTTCTCATGCACTTAGTGTTCTTCCTGTATTGTTGCAACTCCAAAAACTGAAGCTTGAAGTGTTAGTAAACATTAACAATATTCAATAACCTGTTGCTTTTGAATTTGCAGGACATGCATGATGAAAGTTTATCTAAAAGAAATTCATCATAATGAAAGTTTATCAACTTGACCTTTATCGAAACAGTACTAAGCTTATTATCTTGACATTTTTTAACTAATTTCATGACCAAATTATTCATTAATTTCAGAGGAACCATGATGCTGTACAATTATCATGAGAGTCTCGTCCTAACTACTCGGTTAACCTATTAGATAAAGATCAAGTTCAAGACAGACCAAAATGGGGTATATATTAAACATCTTTGGGCTTAACTTATCTTTTACCCTATGCTTTTCTTGGCAAATTTGGGTCTCATGCCAGATCTTCTCTGCTTGAACCCCCATCCTTTTCCATCTCCAATTTGTTTTAACAGGTTATCATTTACTAGTTCACTGCCAAGATCAAGAATGTTCAATGGCAAAGTATCTATTTGTTCAAGGTCCTCAAGGATCATTCACGTTAGCTCTTCATGAGCATGTATGTTAAGGGTCATTTATCAGAAGACCCGAGAGGCAACCATCTGATCATGCCAACTCAGCTAATACAGGCATTTGTGACTCAAGTGGGTGGTTACGGGATTTAGTAGACTGTTAGGCAGTTATTATTCGACCAATCATGGCAATCATTGTAACCGTTACAGATATAACGGTCTCAGAGTGACTATATGTATGTAATCCCTCAACCTAATGGATCATTATTAGAATTATCCTTCATTATCCCTTGTCTCCTTCTCGTTGAGTAGGTAACCTGCCCTCTGTGAGGCAGTGCTCTGGCATTATAGCTCAAGGGAACCCTCCTCTCTTGTCAATAAAGGGAAGGGGTATGTATCAATTGGTATCAGAGCAGTTTGGTCCTAGGGAAAGGATGAACAGGTTAGAAGAGCGCCCGAACAGGCTGGAGAAACGGCAGGAGAAGACTCTTACCCTTCTCGATCAAATTTGGGAGCGAGTCAATTACTTGTTTCCTTTGGAGGAACATAGCCGACAAGTCTCTCCTCTTGGGAGAGCACTGAAGGTTGCAGAGGACTCAAGCTTGGCACCAAATCCAGAAACCTTGGTTGGCGAAACAGTGGCCGAGGTCCAAAACGGTGGTGTGAAGACTATCATACCCCCTGTCGAGATCCACCAAACCCCAAATCCTAATCCCTCCATCATGTTGTCCAACAACTCCGGTATGTTTATTCGTTCCTTCTGCGACAAACCTCACCTTCACCCCTTTTCCCTCTCCCTCTCACTGAACCTCAGTCTTTCCATCACCCCCTCTATCAAACAGACAATGACCTTCCTCGTAAACCAGTCCCAGGTCACCAATGTCATGAACAATTCACTGCCTTTATTTTCCCCATCTTGTTTCCCAACCATAGCTCGAACAATTGCCTTGTCCTGTTTCCCAAGACCCATGGATTAGCCATATAAATTCATGTTTCTTTCCTCTCTTGCCTCCATTGATGAACCCCCTCCCTGGCCTGGCTTTCTCTGGGGAAGGCATCCTTTGACTCTGCTCATATGTTCAATCACCAATGATAGACCATTGTCGAAGATGGCATCGTCACCCCTTAGTGGCAACTACAAGCTCTGGTATGTCTTTTTCTTTTCCATAGTAGATGGCCCTTTTACTGTTTATGACACCGGACATCAATTCGTTGGTCGTATGGGTTTGTCTATATCTCCTACTACCCCCAACAACCATTTTGTCAATCGGCTACCCTATTCTCTGATCATTTACTGTGATGTGGAGATCCCCTTTCGAGACATCACCTACAAGATTTCTACTGTGTTGAATGGGAGCTACCGTGAGGTCCTTTCAATCATTAATAGTGTGTGCAAGAAGACTCAAGAGGGTTCAATGAAGAAGAGATGTTGGCATATTTCTCGTCTGGATCCTTTCCTCCCCTACACATTAGAGAAGTTGAACAACGATGAAGTCAAGAACCAGGGCTCTGTGAACTTGTTTAATACAATCTTGGACACTAGCCGGATCATTGGTCAGAGGCCTTCTAACCCATCTGTTCGAAGCAATATGGAGCTCTTGCTCCTCGAGGTAGATCCTGGCCCTGGTAACCAGCCTATCCTCATGGTCGCTGACAAGAATGAGATGAAGCAGTTCATTGTTGAAGAAGATGCGAGGAAAATAAGAAATAGAATAGTAGAACCACAACAGGGAAGCGGAGAAGACCGATTCCTGGCTTCTGGCGGCAAGGTAAATTCCACCCACCAAACTCATTTCCCTGACGCCAGAAATATCAAATCCCACCACCAAGTAGACTCCGTGAACAAAGCTATTGCCAAGGATACAATTGATACCCATCTCCATGCCATCTTCAAACAATTGGGAGAGTCTGGTACGTCTTTCAGTTACTTCCAATCCATTAAAAACACCAATCAATCTATTTCCGAACAGCAAATCACTGTCATCTTGTCCAAAGTTCAATGCAGTGGCAATATACAGCCCTTGGGTTGCATGGCCTTTGTTGACAAATCCAACTTCCAAGTCATCACCTACAACAAAAATGCCATGACACTGTTGGACCATAATCCGAAATTAGTACCCAATTTAAACAAACATGAGACCATTACCGTTGATACTGATATCAACACTCTTTTCACTCCATTTAGCATGGGTTTGTTTGGGAAGGTCTTGTGTGTTCGAAAAATCAATTTACTGAACCATGTTGAAGCTCACTCTTAAGAATTCTGAGAAACCCTTTTATGCAATTTTGCATAGTATCAATGTGGGAATAGAAATTAATTTGGAGCCTACACAAACTGAGGACCCCACTCTATCCATTGCTTGGGTCGTGCAGTCAAAGAAGCTCATGGTCTGTACAACGTCGAGGGCGCAATTAGCATCCCAGTTATCAAGAAAGCATCCACTTCTGATACAAACTCTCTTTTGTGACGTACTTACTGCGATTGTTACTCGTCAAAATTCCCGCATTGTGGATTTTATGAGGTATGATAGTGCTGCATTTTTCTACCAAGGGAAATACTACCCAGTTCATGTCTCAACAGGATTGAACGTGAGCAGTTTGACTGAAGTTGGATACCCTGGTGCAGCCTTTCTTGGTGATGCAGTTTGTGTGATGGTTGCGGCTTATACAGCATCTCTAGAATTCTGGTTTTGGCTCCAGTCCCACGTAGCAAAGGAAATCAAGTGGGGAGCTCTTGAATTGTTAAGACACTCTAACATTTTGTCGTTCACCATCCAACCTATTAGCACCAAATATTGGCTTAAAGGAGAGACAACGGGTTTCAACAAATTGCATGAGAATGGAGTCAACAAGCCCAAGGCTAACTCTTCTTTTATTCCAGTAAAAGATCTTGCCTTTTTGGCAATTCAAGGAAGCTACATGGAATGATCATCTTGTTGCATGCCACCCAATGACAGATGTTGACACCACCAATACTCAGGCTATCCTTTTAAACAACAGATGTCCATTAGGTGGCCAACCCAAGGTTTTGTTGTCCTCAGGAGAAGTAGTGTGATCTCCTATTTCTAGTCAGAATTAATGAACCTCTGAATGCCGGTGATCTCATTGGACAACCATATATAAACCATCAACATTACAGTGTGCATGGGGTGTCAATCATGGTAGGGGCTAGAAGTGTTGTCTCTCATTGTTGTTGACACCGGCAGTTGCGGATTCTGGATGGCTAACTCATATGGGTGCTGGTACTGCCCTACATTACAACCACGCAAATTTGATGGAAGATTGGCAATCAGCACTGGAATTAATGAATCTGAAGCAAGCAACAACATTAATCCTAACTCTTGCGATTGAGAAGGACCTGCGAGAAGCAAGCAACTCATATCTATTGATGAAGCATTCTGTTAATCATGTGGTTTTAACGAAGGTATCAACAAGGTTTCATAAAATGATGATCAACAAGGAAGAGAGTATTATTGTTGGATTGAACAAAGGTGAAGGAGGCACTACTATTGCTGCCTGGTTCCTCTACCAACTGTGCTCATTAGCAACATGTGCTACTCAGGAGACTGTACTAACCCAAAATACATTATTATATGCCTTGAGGACAAGGCTCAACTTAAGGGGGTGGGAATGTTATGGGTCATTTATCAGAAGACCCGAGAGGCAACCATCTGATCATGCCAACTCAGCTAATACAGGCATTTGTGACTCAAGTGGGTGGTTATGGGATTCAGTAGACTGTTAGGTGGTTATTATTCGACCAATCATGGCAATCATTGTAACCATTACTGATATAACACTCTCAGAGTGACTATATATATGTAATCCCTGAACCTAATGGATCATTATTAGAATTATCCTTCATTATCCCTGGTCTCCTTCTCGTTGAGTAGGTAACCTGCCCTCTGTGAGAGGTGCTTTGGCATTATAGCTCAAAGGAACCCTCCTCTCCTGTCAGTAAGGGGAAGAGGTATGTATCAATATACTACTAGACTAACAATCGGAATTGAAACCAAATTAGAAATTAGTTACTGGAGAGTGGTCGCTCACGCACTGAACCTGCAACATAGCCAATGAAGTACATTGCCCAGCTCTGAACTTCCCTTTGGCTCTCAATCCAAAATCACAAATAATTTTCAAATATTTTCCTCAATTTTATATTTTTCTTTTCTTTTATACCAAAGAATCGGTCACTCTAGCAAGCATAATCTTTATATTACAGGATCAAATCAGTGGAGACACCTAAAACCACATGAGGGCAGCAAATCAAATATGCTCGCCCAATTCTTTTCGACAAAATGCCTCAAATGGAAAACAGTTCCAGAGAACAAAGCATGCTCACTGACCCTTCAGTGTTTGTACGCATGAAGTAATTTAATCAGCAGATTTTGATAAGCCACTCTGCTCCAAACTTCAAAAACGATCAAATCCAGAAGGGAAAGACAAAGCAAAAGAGGGAGAAAAAACCGACATAAAAGGCATTGAACTCTTCACCGGATGGTAGCCAATCAAGAGCTCTAAGGAGACATTTAAGCATCCAATTCAAGGAAAAACGAAAACGTCACGAATGAGAGAGAACACTCACCGTAGGACTGAGACGAAGCGAATGCAGGCGCCACATCCAAACGGAGGAATTGTCCCTCCACTTGAGCGGTGTGTGCTGAGCTTTTGCTTGCAGGAGATCCGGGTGGTGGGAAAATCTGACGCACAGGAGATATTCGTGATGTACGGTTGGATGCGGTGTTTAAAGACATATGAGAGATCGGACTATGAGCGAGAGTCCGGATCTCCTTCAAATAAAAACTTTCAGATCACGTAGAATTCGGAATATCTCCCATATATTTATGTTGAATTCTCGTGGCGTGGGGGAATGGGGCCGGATCTCAGAACAAAATAGTAGGATTATCAACGGATCGGGCGTGGATGGGGTCCAGATAAAATCAGAATCGAGGATGTATAAATCTTGATTGTAATGCCTCGTTTCGTGTAGCGCTATCACACTTACATGGGTAAAGTGTTTCTTGCGTTCGAAAAGTTTATTTAGCTATAAATTTTACATTTCAAGTTATGCACACCAACTTTTCTGAATAAGAAGCTAATATGTTACACTATTGTCAAAATTATCTTTTTGGCCTAAATGAATATTTTATGTGAAAGTTTTATTTTATAAACCTGTATAATAAATTTATACCATATCAAAAGTAACCCAATCAATCACAAACCAATTACTATTAACAACATTATTCTTTTTGGGCAATGACGACAACTTTTCACCATTAGAAAAGCTTGAGTTCAACACCGGTGGGAGATCGAGCTTTGTGGGGAGCGGGGAAGAAGCTATCAAGTTCCTCCACCAGAGTGTTGACAAAGTGTCTGATTTGAGTAACCCTATCGACATAGATAGAACAGAAGAACAAAGCCCCACAATTAGAGAGAGAGAGACAAGAGGTTTGAATAGATTTTACCTAGTTTGGCTCAACCTTCTTCTGTTAGGACATAGGACTCCCTCACTGGTGAAGAATCTGGAAGACATGGTTTCTCTCTCTCTCTCTTGCTATTCGCGTTTTGATGGGCCTATATTTGATGCTTGGTCCCCACCCCCTCATACAATTGGGGTTTAGAGATTTACCATAAGATTGACCTGAAAGTGATCAATTAAGCCCTGTCCCAACGACGAAGGATTACAGTTAAGTTCTTAACTTAAGAACATACTAAAAGATTGACCTGCTTAGTTCTGCAGCATTGGTCGTTGCAATCTTTGGATTGGTGGATGGGGTCTTTGGGATGAACTTCTCAATATCATTGTTTAGCGAACCGGAAGCATTCAAGTGGGTTCTTGTAATCATAGGAATATGTGGAGTTATTATATTTTGTTCATTTTTGTGGTTTTTCAGGTACAAAAAGACTCGTGCCCAAATGAGAGAGAAGGCATGGGAATCTCTCTTTTAGGCCTATTTTAAATCTAAAGAAGGAAGAATGATCAGTTAATGCCACCTCTCATCTTGTTCCTTCAAGCTTCAACCTAGATTAAGAGAAAGGGGAATACGGTAAAAAAAAAAGAAAAGGGTAAAATGGTCTGAATATTATCATAAAAGTTAGTTTTGGCATTATGAAATTATTTAAAATGCATCTGATCTCATGTGATTGACATTGAGTTAACGCTAGGTACCAGATTGTCACAAAATGAAAGTTTGAGTACTGGGTTGTCACAATTGAAAGTTCGAGTACTGGATTGTCATATTTTAAAGTTTGGGGATCAAATTGTCACTTGAGCCAAAGTACATGGTACTAATAGGGAATTTTCTCTTAGATATATTGTTGTAATGCTTGACCGAAGTGAGAGTGAGAGAGAGATCGTTTATTAAGGCGCCACTTGGTGCATCTTTTTGCACGGTCTTTCGGCTGTTTATAAGTCAAGAAGACTAAAAATCGGTCTATTCCCATTTAGCACACAAAAGATCTAGCCGCCAAAAGACAGCACCGAAAAGATGTGAGAAGCTCATTTCGAGCTGCATCTTTTGCATTTTAATCTCATGCGAAAAGACCCGAAAAGATGCACGGAAAGATGCACATTTGCCAAACGATCTTTGGACTGCCCAGATCTTATGTCAAAAGCCCAATACGTCTATTGACTGTCAAAACTACAAGAAGATCTTGAAAAAACTTGTCAAACGGGCCCTAACTCCGACGACARCAAAAGTTAAATCTCTTAGTAGTGGCTTGACGGCAAAAGTTAAAATCTACCGTCTTTCATGAAGAAAAGAATCTAATAGTAAATAAAAAATAATAAAACTGAGATTCTAATTTGAATTGGTTATACCAGATTAACCCCAATATACTACCGCGCACTAAATCAAATAAATTGCCGCTTTACATTTCATTTTTCTTGCTTCAAACTTCTACCCGCGGGTCAGGAAACACCGCCACCTTAGGCATGCCTGAGCCGGTGGCTTTTAAAACCGCCGACTTTCTTCATTTTTCTTATATATGTTTGGTTTGAAGGAAAAAATAGGAAAAGTAAAGAAAAGATATGAAAATCTATTTAAGGTTTGTAAAGGTTTTTCTATCTTTTCTTTCTTTTTCCTACTTTTTCCTTCAAATCAAACACAACCATAGTGACGGGTCATCATATTTCAGAGTTTGTGAAGCAATTCATTTTTATCCAAGTGCGTAAGAGCTCACATGTGCAAATTGTCCACAGCTCTAAGTTGGGCAGCCTATCTCGTTGATCCTAGTACTTGGAAGTCCGAATTGGTTGTCCTCGGGCCAGGGTTTACTTTGGCTGTTGGGGCTCAATAGTATAGACTGTTGAGACAATTTCTAGGTTGGGCACATTCTGAGCAATTCATCAATTTAAACCCATGCTTTGGTTTTTAATAAAAATAAATTAATATATAATTATTAATTTATCCTTTCTCAGGGTAATGTGACATTCCTAGAAATTCTCTCAATAACATAAACTGTTGACCTCCAACAGCTAAACTTTTTCCCTCGGGCCATGGGTGGCTAGAACACCATTCCTGTCGTGCCTAACCTAAGTTGGTCTCTTAGTTAAGGTTAGTGCCCAATGTCGTTAGTGCTCAGTAGGGTTAGCATATATGCCATTGGTGCTTGCGCGGTGCCATTAGAGCTCGACAATGTCATGCTTTAATGAATAAACAAGTTTAGTACTGAAAAAGAATGAGAACTTTCGATAAATGGTTTAAATACAAAAGACTTTAAGCCGTCATCAAGTTTGGCGCCAATTAATTATAATATATCCTCCGTTTTGCAGAGTTCAAAGTACGGGGTTCAACACTCCTACTACAGCCTTCAAAAAAAAGGATAAAAGATAAGAAGGATGAAAATAATAATAATTCCAATGATGGTGTAATATATTCTAAAGAAAATCTCTTTAACATGTTATCATTTAAGAATATTATAGAATAGTTAAACATTAATAGCATCAATAAAGCAATTAATCCTTTGTGGAAAATCAAAGACTATTGAAAACATTCAAAACTATAGAGAGCATGTGGAGAATCAAGTTTAAAAATGCACATAGGGAAAGTAATTAGGAATGGCAATGGGGCAGGTTCAGGGCAGAGATCATATATTTCCAATTCTCAACGAGATGGGTTTCCCAAAATTTTTTTAGACAATAGTATTTTTTTGAAAAATAATTTTACTTAAAATAAATAAAAATTTTAAATTATAAAATATGTCTTGATATATATATATACACATATATAAATAATATAAATAATTGGGGTCAGGGCGGGGCAGAGACTTCGATCCCCATCCCGACTTCGACCCCGAATGGGAATTCCTATTAATCCCCATCTCCATCCCCACCCTGCCAAAACAATCCCCATCCCCAACTCCATCGGGTCAGGGAAGTCGGGTCTCCATCGGGGATGGGGAAAATTGCCATCCCTAAAAGCAATCAAGTTGCTTATTTTCTAGCAAGCAAACCTAGTAGGAAGAACCCAAAAATGCTGATGGCCATGACTAAGAACATAGATATTTCAATTTTACTAGAATTTTGAGGGAGGACTTTTGGGACTGCACTACCCCTCATCTTCTTAGCGCTAGGGGGTGGAAATTGTGTATCCAATTAGATGAACTTATACTGCATTGTCTTGGGCTTTTGAGTTGGGCCCATTTAAATTTTAACAATTCCCCAACATGAGCACGATCCCACACCAAAGGCTGCATTCGGAATACCCACTTGTGAAATCCCAACATAATTGTGACGTTTTTTTTTAAGCACCCTTGATTTTTCTTACTGCCCCTCAATTTTCTACTTTTCACCATGTGGTAAGGTTTTTAAAACCAGATCGAACAGGGAATTGTTCTGAGACTGCAGGTTATTGGGTCGAATGGTCCGACCATCTGGTCCGAATGGATGAATTGTTTTGACTAAAAATCAAAAAAAGAATGTCTAAAAACGGCTGTTCAGGTTGATGGTTCGACGGCTTGACTGCCTGGGTCAGTAGTTTGCTGACCAAATCAACGGTTTTTGGCCAAAAGTGGTTTTGGGGTGAAATGGAACTAGTCAGATGATTGATTCCCAGTTTTTCCGGTCTGATTTTGAAAACACTGTTATGTGACATAAGGCTGCATTTGGAAACGGTGCAAATAAGTGTGAATGCAAATATGTAGAGTGTAAAACAGTTCATATAAATTGTAAAGTTGGGTTAGTTTTTGCACTAACAAATTTACCTTCTTACCAAACAGAGCATGATCCCAGTCACCCCAAATACCCACTTGTGAAATCCCAACCACAAAATACCTTCGTTTACCCTTCAATTGCACCAAGATTCTATTTTAAGGTCCCAGATTGACCGGATTCCAAGTCCACCCGATCTGGGCCCAGTTGGCCCAATCCAGCCTTACCAATCACCTCAAACTACCTGAAAATCCTAGCCTGTGAAATTTCATCCAAAACTTCCTTTGTTTTCCCTTTGACCACACAAAGATTTCACTTTGAAACCTCAAATTAACTAAATCGAACCCTTTCTAGATCTACCCAATTCAGGCCTAGTTGGGTCAATCTGATCCCACCAATCAACCCTAAATGCCCAAAAACCCCACCTTGCCAAATTTCAGCCAAAAATACCTTCATTAACCATTCTATTAAAAAAGATTCCATTTTGGCCAATCTTACTAGCCCATAGACAAACCCCCCCCTTTATAGTCAGACCCATCTCAACCTTCCATTTTTACCCAAAATCTCAACCATTCATCCTGAACCCCGGTTTGACCAAACTTTGAAAGATGCCACCCGGAGTCCCCATAATTACGAAAATGCCATTTAAGTTAAACC